CCAGTCACCCCATCCCTCCCACCCCACCCCCCACTCCAACAACACTCAGTTTGTTTCCTGCGATTAAGAATTCCTCATATCAGTGAGATCATATGATACCTGTCTTTCTCTGTTTGACTTATGGGAAATAGTCTTTAAATGGAAGATCGTCTGCCTAGTTAACGTCAGGACTCTCACTGAAAGAAGTGGACAATGGATATCAGTGGACGACTAGTAGTTTCGGCCACACACTATTTGGAGAAAAATGTTTTCAAATGAACAGAAGAAGGTAATCAGGCCTAGAAAAGGGAAATTTACAAAATTATAAATTGGCAATCTCATGTTAGCACTATGAATTCTTTATTCATAGTTTGAATAAATGAATTTATTCTTTATTATTCTATGAGTCTATGATTATTCATGTAATAATTCTATGAATTTATTCTTTATGAAGAATAAAAGGCACCCTATCAGGGTGATATATTTGTCTGCCAGACATATATATCTCTATTGTAAAGACGGATAGAGCAGGTTATCAAAGCCTAAACTTTCAAATCATATAACTAACTCCCTTTGTTCTGATTCCATGCTCACTTGGAAATCTCTTGCCCAGAGGTAGAGAATGTGCTCAACAGACTAATGCAAACATCGGTTTGCTTGACAATAATATTTCTCAATGTATAAATATATTAGTCTCTTAGATTGGGTTTGGGCTTGTCAAACTAAGGATGGGACCCTAGACCAACATAATTTTACCAAGAAAAATTCGACTGTGTAAGCCACCCAACCTTCCCCAGTGGACACCTCTCTGCATTACCATATATAATGGTTGGTATTGCTGCAACAATCTAACAAAGTGATCTAAAACATTTATTATTGCTCACACATCTGCAGGTTAGCTGGGGGGTTGGGTTGGCTGATCTAGGCTTGGCCAGGCAGCTCTGCTTCAAGCGACAGCACCTAGGGCAAGTCTGCTTCTCACTATATGTCTGTTGATTGACTGAGGCCACTCTGCTCCGTGTGTCATCTTCTTTGGGATGTACATGGTCCAGTGGGATAGCTGAGCTATGTTCCTCTCAGACAGCAGCCAAGAAGCAAAAGAACAAACAAGGACAAGTGAGGCCTTTTCCAGTGTAGGCTCAGAAGCCTCTGACTCACTCCGTTGGCTAAACAAGTCACATAGTCAAATACAGAGACAAGGGGTGGGAGATATACTTAGTCCTTTTAGTAAGAAGAATTGCAAAGTCACACGGTAAAGGGTGTGGATACAGGACCTGCGCAGGACTGAAGTTGCAGCTGTAATCTAGTACATGAGGTTGACCACATACCTTAACAAAGGCAATATGGACCAAGGGCCAGAGCATCAAAGGGAGAACTCAGGGCACAATTTAATTATTTGGGCCGAAGTAACAGCTTCCCTAAGTTGAAATAGGTGTTGTAATACTGGAAATACATCCTTTTCAATTGACATTAAGTAACCAGCCATCTGCACCCTCCCATGTCTATTTGCCCCATCAAACCTTCACAAAACTCTTAAGGTAACACCAAGAGTTAACTGAAACTTAGACGAAGGAATTGCCAAAGTTCCACCTAGACTTTAAGTGAAGAAAAGCAGAACATCAGATGCCAACTCAGGTGCTTCCCTCTTTGTCTTGAGAACCAGGAGTTTCTAGAAAGAATGCATGTTGGGTATGAGATATTCTAATTTGAGACATAAAGATGGGTTGTAAATCAGCGTGACATAAAGGTCAGTCCTCACCCCGCTGATGCTTTTTTCTTCGGTAGCAGTTCTTCCCTACAGCATCAGCTGATACTGAAATAGATTCCCCTGCCCGGGGCTATATTCACTCACTCCTCTTCCTCTAGAATTGCAGTGGCTCCAGCTAAGACCAAAACCCAGGAAGTCAGTGGTCCAGACGGGGCTTCTGCAGCCATTCACAGCAACCTGGTATGGGGGGAAAGGCAGGGAAATCAGACCCACCTTCTGCCACTCAGTACTTCAGTTTTGGGACAGAAGGCTCACTTTATTACTTGAGCATCTTTGAAAACATTGTGTTTACCACAAGAAGCTGATGGAAACAGGAGTATTGTGGCAGTTTCGAAGAGGGAGCCCACACTGAGGGCCGAGCTGGTGAGGAAGGCTTTTCCACAGAGAGGGACCATTCTTTCCTAGGGAGGTTCCTCTCCCTTCTACCACCAGCCCAAGGCTGAACAGTCTCCCCCACCTCCCAACAGGTGCCCCGCATACGGCACGGATTATCTCCTTGCTGAGTTCAGAGACACCCTTTGGCTTCGGGTGGAGCTACTCTCTTCTCAGCCAGAACTCCAACTCAGCCACCTCCTCTGGACACTATCCACGCTGCCCCATAACTTGCCGGCCAGGGGCACACTGCCCGCGTGAGCATCTTTTCTCTGTATCCGCCATTCCTTTCTCACGGGTGGCGCCGAGCGCCCGGACTGCTGCCTCCCGAGCCCCAGGGAGGTCTCAGCGCCTCGCCTCTCCCACTGGCCCACACGGCAGAGCCTAGGGCTCTGGGTGAATTTGGCCATGGCTGCGAGGAGTGCGGTGGAGATGTGGCCCTGTTTTGAGCCACAGTGCTCTCTTCATCAGATTTCAGAGAAGCCGACTGGGATATTACTGGGCCCCGCGCCCTGGGCAAACGCAGGATCTCCGCGGGAGGCTCGGAGGAGGCGGGGACGGGAGGGGCGGGCAGGGAGCTGGCGCCCCTCCTCTGCTCGCTCCCCTCCGGCGGGCCAGGTCTGCGGCGCCGAGGCCGCCGGAGGAGGCCATCGGGGGCGGGCCAGCGGCGGGCTGCCCTCCCCTCCGTGACGTCCCAGGGGGGCGGAGGACGGCGCGCTGGCTCCGCGCCCTCCCCGCCTCCACCGGGTGCCCCGTCCGTTGGTCCTCGGGAGATGCGGCTGCCGCCTTTGCATTTGCTGTGCACGCCGCTACGGGTCGGTCCGCTCCACCGCCGTGGCGCCGCGGTGTCCGAGGGCGCACCCGAGCCGGGGCCATGCAGCCGGGACTCGCGCTGCAGGCCATGCTGTTGGCCGCGCTGCTGGCGGGGCCCCGGGGTGCCACCGGTCGCCTGCTAAGCGGTGAGTGCGCGCGCTGGGGCGGGGGCTGGTTCCCGGTCGGGCTCCGCAGATGCACCCACCGCACCCCAGCTGCTGCGGGCCGTCGTCAAGGCCGCCGCACCTCTTCTCTGGCCCCCTGCAGAGGCGAGGGGCGTCCTCGTCTCGGCTAGTGGACCCAGCCCTCCTGCGCCCCCTGCTTGTAGGGGTCCGTCGCCCCGCGGCTAACGGCAGCGCGGGTCGCTGCCGATCCTGGAACGCTCAAAGTCTGTCCCCTCCCCCAGAGTTCCGGGCGTTGGGGGGCGTAGGCTAGGTGAGGCAGTGGGCAAATCCGCCCCAGGAGGCGCCCACCTCGGCCCGCCCCGCTGAATGCGGCGCAACAGTTGCCTGGACCCCGGCGCAGGGGCAGGCTCACCAACTCTCCTCCAGCCCACGGGGGAGGTCTCCTGTTCCCGGAGACCGCGGGTACAGCGGGGGTTCTGGATCGGCTGTGCGGTGGGAACGCAGCCTGCTACTCCCGGTCTCTTCTGGGGGGAGGATGGCGGGATCCAGCTCTGGAACCAGAGCGCTTAGAGATCGAGAAAGAAGCCTAGCTAGCTCGGGACAAGCCCCGCCTGACTCAGGGGAATGACTCTCCGCTTCCTTCCTCCTGTCGTGTCACTGCAGCCTCGGACTTGGACCTCAGAGGAGGTACAGTGCTCTTGTTTCTCGCCTCTTCTATTTGTTATGCATGTCGGGGAAAGGATGTCCGTGCCTCTTTCTCAGGTCTTCGGGGCGCAGACAGATTGGCCAAGGGGGTGGCGGAGAATGAC